TGTAAATCAGACTAGTCAATTACAGCTAACCTACTTTGGGAGATAATTCTTAAAATAGGCTCTACAAAAATGCAATGAACATAATAAAATGGACAGAAATTATATAATGTTTATATTGAGAAATGATTATCATTTTTTTTTTTTTTCTTTTCTTCCTTGCAGTGTGCCAGTGTAATGGTCACAGTACATGTAATGAATCTAATATTTGCACAGAATGTCAGAATAATACAACAGGTAATCTCCTGATATTTTTTTTTTTCTGAAAGACTTTTTACATTGAAATTTTAACTATTTTTTTTTTTAATTTAATATTAACATATAAATCCGATCAGATTTGAAAAAGTTCAGTCTATAAAAAATATGTAGGTACCTCCACCAGAAATCCAATACCTAAAAGTTTAAAATTAATTTTTAAAAATGAAACATCTTTCTTGAAGCTTTTATTTTTTTATTTTTTTTATGGTGGACATATCTGTAAAATTTATTTGAGGAATATAACATGAACACTTTTTTTATATAACATGAACACTTTTTTATATAATTTTTACCAAGTAATCTTAAACATTTAGGAAAATATTCTCTGTAATCTAGTGTTAATTGAATTTTAGGTATTTGATTTTAAATTTACTATAGTTATCATAACTTATTTTCTGATAATGTTGTGCATTTACAAAGTTTATACATAAGAAAATTTCAAATTTCCATGTTGCAATGAACTCAAGATAATAGACAGAGAAAAAACTGTTGAGAATAAAACAACTGAAAGAATCTTTGCAGATTAAGCTCTGATAAGCTCCTTGGTAGATGTACCATAGAGATAAATGCTATCTGTGAGCCCCCGATTAATAAAGGACATTCAAGAATTACATCACCTGATTACAGACTATAATGGCATGGAACTTACAGGTTAAAATGAACAGTTGATTTATTCATACCAAAAAAGATAATGAAAGATGATAATGATGGAACACAAAACAATACAAGGAATTTTATTCATGAATTTACATGTTTGAAGAAGTGCCAGTAGCTCATCTTAGGAAAATAAATCAGAATTCTTAAAGTCTGTAGTTATGTTGCACTCACTACACGGCTTTCTGTTTGGTAAAAATGACACCACTGTATTGTCCAAGAGGCATGACCTTGTGGATTAAAGAGTTGTTTAAAAACCTATCTGATTACCTGTCAATTGTTAATTCAATCCCCAAGTCAGGTCATGTTGAAAAGTCATCTACTCTTGTTCAATGGAAGAGGCAGACAAGCAACATAAAAAAAATAAAATGAAAATAAATATAATCTGGAGAATATTAACTGATATGAGATCTCCCTGAAGTATGGCATCCAGAATGAGAACAATCTACTCAATCAATCTAGTTGAAAATTTTGAGAACATTACTAAATATGACATGCCTTAAAAAAGGTTACAACAGTTAAAATATGTATAACAACCAAAATGAGGATATTAGTCCAGCTGTAAAGGCATATAATAATAATTGCTCATCTCAAAAATTCTGATATTTTTTTTTTTTTTTTTTTTTTTTTTTAAGGAGCCACTTGTGATAGCTGCAAAGAAGGTTACTATGGAGCTCCCCAAAATGGTGGGATTTGTAAAAGTGAGTAACAAGATAAATTTTTTTTTTTTGTTGTGTGTAATGAGGGACTTTACTTTCTCTTAGTTATAGCAAATCACCTGCTGATTTATTATTTATTATTATTAATAATAATAAAAAACGGGATCAAGATTTAAGGATTTTTTAAATATTAGGGATATTAATTTAAAAATAGTATTATGGCTGTAAGAACAGGCTTGATAAAAATTTAACCCCTGACCCACCTTGAGAAATTGTTATTTTGCCATCTCTTCATTTAAGCTGTTTCATTTCAAACTAAATTAATTCCTATTAATGATTGCATAAATTAAAAGTGTAAAATAGTTAAATATAATAGAGCCATTTTATGTATGACCAGAATTATAGCATTTGAGAGTTTATTTCTTTCTTCCCTATGCCAAAAAAATTATAGCATTTGAGAGTTTATTTCTTTCTTCCCTATGCCAAAAAAGTGGCTCTTCTATCAAGTTATCTAATAGAATTGTACCTGGCCGAAATCTATAAGACTCTAATACTAAATGTAATTAGATAGGAATCTTAGATGTCATCAAATAAGGTATAACATTTTTAGATTTAAAAAAATATTGATATCCTCTTTGATGTAAAGTATTTTTTCTTGTGTTGTAGCTTGTGATTGCAACAACCTGGCTAAGGTGTGTAATGGAACCAATGGAAAATGCCACTGTGGAACACGAGGCGTCATTGGGAACAGATGTGAATGGTACCTGTTGTTGTTTGTTTTTTTGTTTTGTTTTTTTTTTTTTTTTTTTTTTTTTTGTTTTTTTTTTATTATATAACATTCATTTAATGTGAAATATAGATTTTTTTGAAAAGAATTTTAGAAGTTAAAGTTATGAACATCCATCTGAAAATTGCATTGAAGCATGAAAGTGGCAGTCACCATACGGTGGTGTTTCCTATGTCGACAATGTCTGTATCTAGAAATGCTCAATCTCCAATATTGAGCACAATTCTGCTATAAATATAGTAAATTTTAAACGTGTGCAAACAAGTTTGTAAAGGAAAGTTCTCAGCCTGAGTAAGAAATCACTAAAAAAAAGCATCTGGTCAGTTTAATATAAGTTTACATTATGGCTGGGTACTTTTACTGCCTGTGAACCTGTCTTGTATCCTGCTATATCTTATCCAAGATTGCTTTTCTTTTTTATGTAAAATAAATGATCTTATATAATAGTTTATAATACCTAAACATAATGTGCTGAAAAATGAAATGGAAAACTTTGCTGGAATAATTGATCAAAACTGGAGTAGATAGGTTTACCTATTGTCCTGTTCACACCTTCCCTTGTCATTTGAACAGGAGTAAGGGTTTATCCCTTGTTTCCTGTTTAACATCAGGTTTCCAGTTCCTTTAAATCTTTTTCATTCTCAGTTTCTTGCATCTTAGTGGCATTATCAGCTTATTGGGATAAATTGATTTAAAAAAAAAAAAAATAAAAATAAAAAAAGTATGTTTATTACACGATCCCCACCTTTACCTTGTCCTATATTTGTTAGCCAATATCTATTCGTTATATTTTCCAGGTGTGATACCAGTGATAAATATGTTGGAAATCCAAATGATGGTGGGACATGTTTTTGTAAGTTGGATTTACTTTTTTTTAAAATATTAAAGAAAAAAAAATTTTTGATCAGTGTGTGTGTGTATATATATATATATATATATATATATATATATATATTTTTTTATTAGTATTTGAAGTTTGACAAGGTGGGTAAAGAGAAGCTTCATAATGGACTTGTCATGTATAGCTTAGAGATATTTTTTTTTTTCAAAAGATCAGGTGATAAAGATGAACTGGTGGTGGGGGGGACTAATTTGTTTTGTACATTGGGACGAATTAAGAAAAAAACTAATTAAGAGGGCTGCCTGATAAATTGATCCAGTCAAAGGAAATCTTAAGGATTGAGCTGAAATGTATTTTGCAGTTAACTAAATATACAAACCAAGCATAACCCTACCCTTGCAACCATTTGAATGAGCTGGAAAAATGACAAGTTCACATTATCCAGATGGTGAGCCTCAGATAAATCTAGTTCTAGAAAATCTTAGAATCCCGGTAGTTGCACAAAAAGCTAACTGGTAAACCTCTCCTATTAGGATGTCGAGCAGAGAATTGGGTAAAACAAACTGGGTCAGCTGACCTAATATTGGCTGAAGGAATAAATCCTCTACAAGTAAAATTCAAGTAGAGAATAGGATCCCACAAAAAGTTATTTGGGTTGTTCATCAGAGTTGACAAAACAGATTGATTTCCAATGTATTCAGTATGCATACAATCAGAGAGCGTCAAGTTGGACAGTGTTACCCGAGGAGTACTGAGATCTCGGCCAGATCAGCCAGAGTGTTATCAGAGGGGGTGCAGAGAGATTAACAAGCCTGGCAGAAGTGTTATCGAAAGGGTGCAAAAAGCTGAGCCAATTTGCCCAGAAGGTTGAAAAGAGATTAGCTAGCCCAAGTGAAATGTTGTTAGCAGTGTGTTGTTAGTTGTAATGGTTGTCTGCTTGTGCATCAAAAATCATCAGAAAATCAATTTTCAACAGGTGCCTATATAAACATACTGAGATTAAGGCACTTATGAATCAGGTATAAAGTGAACAGAATGGAAATTAATGCCAAAATCAAGACGGCTCCTCTCATGCCAACTTGAAGGCAAAAGAGGCAAGACTTCACAGAACATGAAATGGTGAGAATGGACAAAGCTGTTTGTCATCTGGCCCAAAATGACAATAGCTATTACTACCACCACGAGAGAATTTAAAATTCAATGGAATTCTTTAAACTCGTGACAATAGACCCATTGACTAGACAAGAAAAATTGCTCAGAAGTTCAGTCCCTTGTCAAGCTGATAAATGATGAGAAAGTTACAATTGTGATAAGTTTATAACCAACAATGGTAAACAACTATGTTGTTGCTATAGTTAGAGGTCAGCTTGGCTTCTTTCTTTAAAAATTCTGGGAACCATTAACATTAATTATTGTGCTCAGCTGGTGATGACTCTGGAATGTTTTGACACTGAGTTCAAAAAACTCTTCAAATCTTTAGACACAACATAAGTGGAGGGATCCCTTTCTTGGAACATTACTGGATCATGATCAGATTATCAAATACTCAGTGGATTATCAGTTTGTGTCTGTCAACATGTTACAAATGTTTCACCAAGCTTTTACTAGATGGACCTGCTATTTTTAGCTGAAAAGCTTAGCTGTTTTTACTGTCTTCATTTTGTTATAGTAAATCCACATTTAACATTAGGCTTCAATTAATAAATCTATTATGTGAAGCTGTTGTAAGCAGAAGGAAGATGTGGATTGTATCAGGTGCCCCAAAAAGTTTTTGCCAATTTTTATAAAGGAAATTAAAGATGCATATTTAAACTCTTAAATGTATTTATTCATCAAAATATGAACGATCATATCCTATGACCTTCCCCCAATGGTTCAACAACTGAATAATACCATTTTTGTAAAAGTCATTGGTTTTACTTGAGGAAAAAGTTATGCACTTCTGTTTTCAAGTCATCTTCATTATTAAATGTCCTGTTCTTCAGATGATTATCTAAGCTTAAAAACAAGTGAAAATCTGTTTTTGAGATGTCTGGTGAATATGGTGGATGAAGCATAATCTTCAACTTTATCTCTGCTATCTTGGCAAGGGTCATTTTTGCAACATGTGGGCAAGCATTGTTCTGGAGAAAGAAAACTTGCTGAAAGGCTGTTTCTTCAACAAATTTTCCTGAACTTGTTCAAGTTACTTGCAGTATTTGTTAGCACTAATGGTTTCACCTGTTTTTAAAAACTTATAGTGAATTATTCTTTAACATATCCACCAAACACACAGCAAAGGTTTTCTTTTTTTTTTTTTTTTGTTTGAATAGTGGTGCCTTTGAAGTTTGTTGCAAAGGATCACCCTGCAATAACGTTTCCTCTTAGAGTTTGTATATATGATCCACTTTTCATCACATGTCATAATTCGATCAAAAATGAGTTCTTTTGTTAGTCTACTGTGATGAGAAGAGCATATGGTAAGCCTATGCAGTTTGTTTGCTGGTGTTAAGTCATATGGTACCCATTTGCTTAATTTCCATTTCTTCCCCAGCTGGTGCAAATGCACCATTTCATCGCTTACATTAAACCTCGAAGCTAGTTCATGACATGTCAAACTTGAAATCTGATTCTATGGCTGCCTTTAAATCCTCATTGTTTAGGGATATTGGTTGTCCAGCTCGAGTTTCATCTTCGAAGGTTTCATTGCCACAACGAAACTTCTGAAACCAATTACATGCAGCTCGTTCACTTACTGCACCTTTGCCAAAGGCTGTACATAGCTTATGAGAAGCACATGATGCACTTGTACCAAGTTTAAACAGACAAGCACGAATTACCAATTTTTTTTTATCAGTCATTTCGTGGGCTCTGAAATGAGAAATAAAATGATATTAGTTATGTAATAAAATAACTGAATCATTCAACAATGTACTTGTCAATACAAGTTGCTTACTGTATACTTATGTTTGTTAGTAACTAAACAGCTGGGCCAGAAATAAGTTAAAAATTGGGCACCTGATAAATATGCTTTCCAAAACTCCACAACTCTTGTTTAAATAGAGAAATATCACACTATAAGAATATTGAGAACATCTGGATATTAAAGATTTTCTTTTGCATTTTTGTATACACTTTTACAAGTAATATATTATTTTTTTTCCTTTGTATTGCCATCCTCAAAATGAAAAACTGTTCAGTAGATATTAAGCAATAATGAAATGATTGCATCAGTAAAATGATTGTTATAAACTTTTATTTTTCAGATAAATTGTTGACAGATTATCAGTTCACGTTCAATTTGTCTAAACCAGATGACCATTACTACACACAAATCAATTTCATGAACCGGCCCTCAGCTGTAAGTAATTAGCAAGCCTTTTACTTTGCTATCAGCAGCAAATAAGATTTTCTTTACCTATATATTTTATTTTAGTTTGTATTGTATTTGTGTATAAGCTTTAATTTTGCAGCACTTAGATTTTTTTATGTGATTGATATATTCATATACAAATGACTAAGGTTTTGCCCACATTTATAGTTATATATTATTTTAGTTGTTTTCTCTGAGCAAGTTTTTGTGTTTTTATAAGTAACCAGTGTTCTTTTTCTGTGTATCATTGTGTCCCTTATCAACCCTCAAAACTAGATTGTGTGCCTTCACTCCTTTTGTGTGTGTGTGTGTGTATATATATATATATATATATAAAATGGGTATGATAAAAAAATATCCACCCTACCTACATTTTATATATATATTTTATATATATATATATATATATATATATATAATGTAGGTAGGGTGGAAAAAAAAATTCATACACATACTAAAAATATAATTAACTGTACACAGATGCATAATAGCTAAATATGCATAGAAAACAGACAAAAATTTGGATTTAATAAAAATAAATCACTTTTTTTTTTCTTTTTTTTTTTTTTTCATTTTAATGGGCGAAAAAATATACGAACAATACAAATTGTATTCTAAAGTGTTCCAATCATGTTATCAGTAGTTATTTTTAGCCTAAAAAATACAAACAAAACATTCTGTAATTGATATTCATGCAAGAAGTTTATTATGGCAAGAGGTAAAGAATTGACAAATTTGAAAAAAAGGACTGATTGTTAAGCTCTGGAAAGAAGGTAAAAGTTACAGGAAAATCTCAGACAACCTGAACTACCATGAGTTCAATCATTGCAAGGTATAAATAAAAGAAAATGTTGGAAACCAAAGAACAGATGCTTCACAGAAGATCTCTTCAAAATCTTTGAGAAAAATAATGTGTCAAATTAAACAAAATCCAATGGTTACTCATCAAGAGTTGCAGGATGATCTGCCTTCATCAGGAATCTGTATCACTATATGAACAATAAGCAATGAAATTCATAGGAACAATCTAAAGTCTCGCTCCCCTTGGAAAACTCTACTGCTATAGGAAAAATACAGATGCCAGGTTGAAATTTATTTGTGGACTTAAGAATAAGGAAAAATTGTCCTGGAAAGTATTATGGACAGAAATCATGTATGGAGGAAAGATGGTGATGCCTTCAAACAAAAGAACATAGTTCCAACAGTGATATTTGGTGGTGGCAGCATCATGGTTTGAGGAGGTTTTTCTGCAAAAAGTACTGGCAACATATCAGTAATAGATTGTAGAATGAATGCCACAATATATCAAAATGGAAGCAAATTTAATGATTTCAGTTGAAAATCTTGAACTTCCTCCTGATTGGATGTTTATTTATTAGTTGGAAATACAATAAATTAAAAATTTATGTGTACAAATATCGTTTTTCCCCCCCACTAATATATATATATATATATATATATATATATATATATATATATTATTTTTTATAAAAAATTAGTGATCTTATAGCATACTTATGTTATAATTTTTATAAAAAATAATTATATCTGCTCTACTTTGTATTGAGCACTCTTTTAAGAATAGTAATTGTTGGTTATTGGAATCCATTCCATATATACCAATTATATACTTTGGTATATATATATATATATATATATATATATATATATATACACACACACATACACATAATATCCAACCTTGATAACACAACTCTTAGTTTCATGCAAACCTGCAATCTTCAGGTGCTGAATACATTCTGACTGCCATGATATTTGCATTCTCATGGGGATGATTTAAAATTGTGTGTTAAGACTTATTTAGTGTTGCCTAAAATATAATTATTTATACTTTATATAATTCAAATTAAGTTTGAAAGGCAAAGATTTAAAAATAAAATTTAAATTTTAAATGAAAAATTTGAAATTAAGTAAACACATTAAGTATCAAGGGGGATAATTCTTTTTTTTTTTTCTTTTCTTTTCATAAAATACCATTGTGATAACATTTAAAGTAATCTAATGGAATAAACTAGTATTCACAGTGTTAATGTAATAATAGGTAGAGACTATATATCTAATGTTTTTGGAACCTCGCCTTTGTACTTACAAAGGTGAAATTACATATACACGCGTTATAAATTTGTGTACAGTAATATGTGATTATATATGTATAGATATATAAAAAATGTTATTAATGATGGGTTCTATGAATATTAATAGATGTAACATATTAATATTTATGAAATCTATTTTGAAATCTATTTTAATTGGGGTCAGTGTGTTTGAGCAGATGTTTGGTTTTATGGATACATGTAGACATCAATTCTGTTCTCATGTTCAGCAAATTAAGTTTGTGTTTTAATATAATAATCTTCTCCAACAAACAAAAATTACATCTGTCTCCCTTTCCATTGTATGGGTTAGCTTTTGCAATTAGATCCCAGGTAGGTGTTGGGTTCTTGTTTTTTTAATCGCCAAACATACTTTGAAAGTGTTGTATAGTTTTTGTATTTGATATTGCTCAGTGTCATTTTGTAGTGGTAAAATCCAATTGTTCTCGGTGGATCCAAAGTAATATTTAACTTCATCTAGATTATGTCTTCAGTCACATACTTGCCGTTTAATGGGTAGGTTGTGTTTTTACAACAATTGTATTGAATTTTAGTATGATTATTATTAGTGTTTTGTTTGTGTGCTTAATACGTTATATTCGGATATATAATTATCGATGCTTTTTGTACAGCTATGGTTTACCTTAATATTTTTGTTGCAATTTAATTTATTAATAAAAAAGGTGGTGGGGGGAATATACTGGAAAAAGATCTAATGTAAAGGGGTTCTTAGTGAATATAAAATGGAAAATATTCATTCACGTACCTCCTAAAAAAACAGTGAACAAAATGCTCTTTCTATCTGCACAAAGACACTTGATGTAATCTAATAAAAAGCATTTTTAATATTCGTAAATGCTGAGTGGACCGAGTTTTTGTTTACCAATGTATTCTTCTGACAAAGTGTTGGTTGTAAAGGATCTTATAAGGAGAATGCTTTCCTGTGTTTTTAAATATACATATGTTCTGTGATGTCAAAATTCCATTTATATATATATATATATATATATATATATATATAATATTTTTTTTTACAATGTCCAGTTATACTGAAAAGGAAAATCTGGAACATAAAACCTCCGCAGTCCTTCACATTCATTCTCCCAATTCTTTACCAATAGAAAAAAAATAAAGCTTTTATGCCTGTATCTGTAAATATTAATTTTTCACTTGCTGAAAAGGGGGTGGGTAAGAAAGTCTTTCTCTCTTTTTTTTTTTTTTTTTTTTTTTTTTTTTTTTTAAGACATGAAATATAGCTCATGAATATCCTACCAACAATCAAATTTGCAACAATTCAAATAGTTTTTAAAGGTGAAGGAGAAAAACATCTGGTCAGTTCTTAAATTATTGAAGATGTCAAAAAAAAAAAAAATCTAAAACTCATCTAGGAGAAATAATTTCCTAACACTAAAAAGCAAGGGTATTGAAATTGTATATTTCAATACACTTGCTTTTCTTCTCCCCTTCTATTATACTTTGTGTTGCATATTCATTTTTAAAAAAATAAAGTATTAGGAAATTTAGTCTGGATTGCCTGAAGATACTGAAAGGTTGAAACCAAAATAGTGTAATTGGCTGATTTCCTAATTTTGTTTTATATATATATATATATATATATATATATATATATATATATATATATATATCTTGATAATTAAAACTTTTTTTTTATTATGTTAGCACTTTCTACAAAATATATTAAGAAAAAAATTCAGATTCAGAACAAATTTTGCACATTTCAACTGATTTAATTTCTCTATGGATTTAGATTATACAAATATAAATATTTTTCGTCAAAATATTTGAGATTTTAATAAAATTCAGTGCAGTGTTTGAGTGACCTAAAAAAAAAAAATAAATAAATTCTAAAAATATTTCTTACAAAATACCCTTTTTAAATTTATTCATGAATGAATTGGTCCCAAAAATTTTATTGAATGCTGATAATTCGATCCTTGATAGATTTCAGAAAAATGCGTGTTTTTGCATGAACATTTTCTTGTGCTAATTATGTCATGCTGTTTTTATTCAGTGTAAACAACTTTGCAAACAAATGTTTCTGGTTCTATAGAGGGGAACATAATTTTGACCATAATAAATGCACAAAAATTATAACAATAAAATTTAACTTTATATAAGTTTTGGCCATTTTTTTTTTCTATTGATTTTTCATTATAAGTGTATTTTATAAATTGCTTTTATAAATTGTTTCATTCCTGTTTTTCTTTTTTTTAATACTCAGGGTGATCGTGATGTTGATTTTTCTGTGAACTGCTCGGGTTTTGCCAATTTGAACATTTCCTACAATTCAAGTAAGAGTTTTAAAATATTTAATGGCTTTGAAATTGTTATATCCCCAACTTTTTGATAATATTAATTTTATTGTAATTTTAGGATTAAAGTTAAATTCTCTGTTCATACTTTGCCTTCTGATGAACTGGCAGGATTTCTTCTAAAAATAACTTTGTTTACAGTGTTATAAACACAAGCATGCATTTCACTATTAACTTTTGGTTCATAACAAAGAAGTCTCCTTCACTGTTTGTACAAAGGGAAGTGTTTTTTGCTCTTGTCAACATATTCTTTTTTTTTTTTTTTTTTTTTTTATTATCCTTGGAAAAACAGCATTAAAATGTTTGTATTTTTAGTTTTAAGATAGCACGTTATTGAATTGCTAACTTTTATTTCAGTTTTACATGATTAGCATTAAGTCTTATGATCAATCTACTTTAAAATGTTGCTGATCATCCCAGTTGGGCTGTATTAGACTTGAATTGAATTTACATTCTTCCTATAAAAGTTGCAATAAAGAGTACGAGGTCTGTCTGAAAAGTAACAAGACTTGCGTCACAAAGAATCATACTTATTATAAAACCCAGGTTGTGTGTGTGTGTGTGTGTGTGTCTGTACGTTTATATATTGGATCGGATTTCCTACATTTTTCAACCGATTTCAACAAAACTTCACAGGACTACGCAATTGTTTTTGCACAAAATCAATTTGAAAACACGATTAAGAGGCATCATGAGAATGAAAGGGGGACAACTCATATTGAGTTATACTTATTATAAAAACCCAAGTTGTTTGTGTGTGTGTGTGTGTGTGTTCGTTTATATATGGGATCGGATTTCCTACATTTTTCAACCGATTTCAACAAAACTTCACTTTTTTTTTCTTTTTTCTTTTTTTTTTTTTTTTTTTTTTTTTTTTTGCAGGTAGTGTTTCTTATTGTCTTGCACACTTTTTTTCTTTATTTTTACATTCAGAATGTTTTAAAAATTCCATTTACAATACGATTGTTTATAATAAAATTCTATTCAATCAGTAGACTCAACGATTGAAAACAATGTTTGGGTTTGACCAATTCGTAAAAAAAAGAAAAAAACTAATTAAGACATGCGTGTCCATCAACCTTAAACAATAATCTTTGTCAATTTTATTTTTCAGTCTTTATGATGGTCGATACTTGATCTATCTCTTACTGTTACATCCCCGGGCAATGCCGGGTTCTACTGCTAGTTTATTTTAATTCCAAACAGCAAACTACGTGATTTCCCTTTCAAAGTTATCCTCCTCAAATTCTGCCATGCTTATATGCACTGCTGGATGGATTATTCTTTGATGCCCCTCAGCTATGTCATTATGGGCCCTCTTGATGACATCCATCCATGCCTTCAAAACAAGTCCTCATGATGATCCCCTTGATAGTGGAGAAAAGAAAAGATCAGGTGAATAGGGAGGTTGTTCCAGTATAGCGATGTTCTTCTTGGCCAGGAACTGCCAGATGCTCAGGGTGTTCTGAGCAGGTGCATTGTCATGGTGAAGCAGCCATAATCTGTTCTGCCACAATGCTCATCTCTTCTAGCACACCGAGCAAAGTAAACACCACAGGATCATCTGGCCCCATGACAAGAATTTACTGAGGACAATGCCTCTCACATCACAGAATAGATAAGTCCCATTACTTTTCAGACAGACTTCATATGTCGTAACAGGCAACTATATTTGGTAATATAAAGAGCTAGTACAGAGTGGAATAGTGAAAAATGCTTTCAGAAACTGAGTAAAGCATTAATGAATCAAAAACTGACATTAGAAATGAAAAAGAAAAAGTGCTAGACTGCTATGTTTTGCCTATCTTATAAGGCAGAGTGTGTGGGTCAATTTCATCACAAATGAAACACTCAAAATGATGTGGTTCTACCAATGAATGTCGATAATACAGTGGAGAGAGTATGCAACAAAAAATTTTAAGGAAAATAAGAACTAAAAAAAAAAAAAATCACTGCTGCTGACAATCAGAAAGGGACAGCTGATATTTTGGGGGGAAAAAATGGAGAATGAATGCTTGGATAATTTAGACCTCACAAATCATAGAAAGAAAAGCAGCTGAAACAAGTATCATAAAGACAAGTTGGGGGGGGAGACAGGAAGCTGTGGATAACCATGAACGACCTTAAGGACATAGTGCACAGACAGAAATGGATACACTTAGACTAATGAATCCAAAAAAAAATTTGTTTATATAGTTCTTAACAAATGCATAAGAATTTAAAATTCAATCATAATATGCAGGGCAGAAAATAATTGATGACTGATCTTCTAAACTGAACTAGTTGAATCCCTACATTAAGCATTCAACCCACTCCATAAATATCAGTTCTGAATGTCCAACCTGCTGTAACCCACCTCATGTATACTCTGCCACAATATGTGAAGATATAATTTTAAATAATGCAGAAAGTCATACAAACAATGAGACTTTGAGGGCCAATATTTATAGGGTGGATTTGAGCATATTGAATGCTGAAGGGTTATGGGCTGAATCCTTAAACTGCTCAGTTATTACAATTGCTGCCTTGTACTGGCGTTAGCTAATAAGGTTACAAATTAAATGTATAGAATTCTGGATTAAAAGATTGCCTAGTTTACACATTGACATTCAGTCTGCTCAAGCCTGGTAGATTGTTGATATTTGCTGTGTTTATCAGCAAAACTTACAATGGCAGTGACTTAGGTGTGGATTGAATAGTACCACGGCCTTTCATCAACATACAAACTGTTTGATTAGTGATGTCCCTATTATTATTCATTGATAGATATATATATATATATATATATATATATATATATATATATATATACACACACACACACACACATTTGGGAACCATTACCAAATGTGACCCAAGTAAGATCCAAAAACCCTACTTTGTCCCAGTCAAGCTAATTTAGACATAAACAAATAACTCTACAATCAGATGTGTGTTTGTAGTGGACAGCTGAAGGTTTTTAGTAATCTGTAGATGCTGTTGTAGTTTTCTCCATTTGTATATCATTTTTAGTGTAGATAATATTATCTTTTCTTGCCCCACCCACAAAAAATCCTCACTTCTGCTGTTACCATGACTCTTAGCTTTACTATTTTCAATTTATATCCAGTAGTATAAAGTTTATTACTTTCCTCCTTCAACCATCTTCATTTTCATGCTAAATGAAGAGATTTGACACATAAGCCAGTTTTAATTTTTACTGCAATAATTCTTTTTTAATTAAAGTATCACCACCAGCTTGTCTCTTTCATTCACGTGCACACACACATATATATATATATATATATAAAAACACCTCCAAATAAGAGAAAGAACAGATGGAGTAAAATTCAACTGTTAGCATTTACTTTTTTAAGAGTGCTCAATACAAAGTATAGCCATATATTATTTTTATTATAAGAGATTATAATAAAAATGTTGAAATTGTTACACAAAAGCTTTCATGTTTCAATACTTTGTACTTCTTTAGGCAACAGTAAGTAACTGATTAAATGATTTTTAAGAAAATTTCAAAAGCAATGTGTTACTTATTTTCCAAAAGATAAAACGAGGTGGGGGGGGGACATCAGGTCAGAATTAAAATTAGACTTGTTGGTATGTCTTGATTAACCAATTAAATGTCAGATCTGCACTAAATAGAAAATTAACCTCAGAGGGTGGAGGTGGGGGGAGTTATTTTTCATGCCATGATAAACCGGGACATCAACAGGCCATCATTGACAATTGCAGAAAATATGCAAGCAACAAATGTATCATGACTAGACGGATATTACATGTTCAATTTTTGAAAGGACATTGAGGGGAGGAGTAGGAGGATAATCAGATGTGAAGTTAATTTCGACATAATTTTTTTTTTTCTCTAAATATTAGATTCAGGAAGCTTATTAAAGGATCCTGTAGATAAAATTAAAAATGTGGAATATCTATATAACATTAATAATACTAACTGGATGGCAATACATAGCAATATTAAAGCAAAAGAAACAAAATAAGGTAATTACTCATAGAGGGTGGACATTATTTACTAATAAATTATGGCTATAAGAAATGTTAATACATAATTTTCAGGTAAAAGATAAAGTGTCAGCAATTTACAGTTAATTAACTCCTTTGGTTTAATAGGGATTTTTTGTCAGCAAATTTGATAATTTGTATATTTTGTTTAGGCAAACATAAGAAGCAAGATTCATTTAAAGATTTACAAGTTCCAGCTTATTTTAGTATTTTCCATTTTATCGTAGGGGTTTTATTTAACTAACTGATAGAGCGAAAACGGTCTGTCTGTGGATGACTATATATATATATATATATATATATATATATATATATATATATATATATTATGCCAAGTACTTTTGATAATTTCAAATTGTCATCTTCAAGGCATAATTTTCCCATACATAGGCAAACACTAAAACAAAATGTGCAGACCGAAAGATTTTTTTTTTTTTTTTTTTTAAATTATGCTATTTATTGACAATTGAATATGTTTTGGAGCATGCGTGCTACAGCACTGGAGTTCTTGGCATGTTTCTTCCATCTGACAACAACTTGAATATAAGGATCTTATTATTCAAGGAAGTGATAGTAAGTTAATGTCTCATTAAGGCCTGTTAGTGAAGTGATATCGCCATTAATCACATTAACATTGCTATTTAATTCTTTGTATAAATTTCTTTGATATAAAATATAAGCTGCACACTCTAATATATTTACATCAGATCTGCAGCACAGTAATAATCATAATCTTAAATTCAGTGTAAAACTAAAACATTTTTATTCTACTAATTGGATTATACCAAGTCCATTTCACTTTAATAGATAAATACATATAGCAAGAAAATTTTGTGCATTTATAACTCTTCAAAATTCAAACAAAATTCTCACTTGATTGATTTGAACAAGAACTTTCTCTCTCATATATATATATATATATATATATATATATATTAAAGATTATTAAAATATTATTAAAATAT